GTTGGCATTTCACATTGAATTCTTATTTTTCTGCGAAAACATATAAAAGTGCATGGGTTCCATATTGTCCTAATGTTCCAGACAATTTTCAGAAATGATGAAGGCATAGAATACAAATATTCGCTTACACTAAATAATCGATCGAAGTGTAAACATATTACAGTCATCGACGTTGCCAGACATGTACCTCAACGTTGGGCTTTTACCTGGACAGTTTTGATGTAATTCAGATTTATTTCAGTCGACTTCTTGTTTTTCGAGTCCTCAGTCCAAAGCTCAGGTTTATTGACAGGATTCAACATTGAAAAATGCAAAATATTGGAGACAAACAAAATTTTTTGATGGATTCTGGAAAGTTCCAAATGAAACCTAAACTTTGAGTATTATTTATTCTAATTTTAATCTAAAAGCTCTTTGAAGGAAAGGTTTCTACTTTCATATTACACACAGTGTATTTGAGTAGCTTAGATTCAAAAGCCGCTATACGTAGAAAAATCGAGACTGAAATAAAGGTTGGATTTAACTTTAAGTCGTCCGCCACATGTAAAGGAATACTTTGAGCTGCAAAAGCCGCCTAAGCCCATTGAAAATTACGTTTGAAAAATAACAACTGCGAAGCCAGCTATAAACATCCGTCATACAGATCCAAAGTCTGGTAATTTTTAAGAAATTTGCAAAACACGCCAAATGCAATGTTTTCACTATCGAGGTCATGTGACCTAGATAAATTCAGTTGCAAAACCGGTTATATTATTTATCATTTCGCGGCATTTTTCACAGCAAGTGGATTATTTAAAAAAGGATATGGTATTATTTTAGTTTTCGCTAGTAGTAAACGGCACTATCATCGATTCTTGGGAATTTGTTAAAAAATTTACTTAAAAAATTATTTTTCTGTCTATATGTATGTCTAGCTAGGATATTTTGTATCAGAATTTTTTAAAGTATGTGCGAGAGGTTCTCGTTATGTTTTCAATTAATTTATTAATTATTAATTTAGTCAGGGTATTTAGCATTTTAAAATAATTAGTAATGATGAACAACCGAAATGGGCGCCCAATGAGATGCAAAAAACGCTATAAGAATATTTCACCCGCTATATGAAATAAAAAAGTTAATATATTTTGTTTTTCAGTTCATAGGAGATTACAAGCCACTACCTAGTCAGATTAAATAATTTTTTTTACAATTTTTGAGTTAATATAACAGTGATAGCCCAATTGAAAAAAGCTCTATGTGTCTTCTGACCGTAACTCAAGATTAGTTATAAAGCATATAGCAGGTTTTGCATATGGGCTACTCAATAAGTTTTTTGTTTCTACGATATTGTAGTTGGGAAGCTCAGTAAGCTCATAAAAACTGAATATCAAATTATTTAGATTACTTCGGAGTCTTTTTATTGGATAAATTATACAGTGACTTTGATATAATAGCAGACGTTTGCTTATTAAGCTCTACTAGATATTTGCTTTTAACCAAAACCCTGCTCAGATCATAACTATTTATGAAAACCGAATAGAATTTAAGCAAGGTGTCCCGCTGTTACGAATATCAGAAATCATACCATTGCTATTTGATGAAGATAATTTTTTGTATTATTCACCTACCAAAATCACAAATAAAAAAAATGACTGTTTCATGTGTTATGCCGTTAATAAATATTCACTTTAATTTTACTACTAGTTCGTGCAATGTCTTCGCATCCTTTGGAGATAATATTCGATCTGATTTATTTTTTGCATAATCTTATCAAAAGGACCCTTTCAATAAATCTGCCAGGCCCAACTTTGCGTCAAAAGGATTTTAAGCAATTTTCTTCCAGATTCCAAAGTTGTTTTTTCTGCGCTCCGGTTTCTGAGCTGACTGAGAAGATGAAAAACGATAGGAAAAAACAAAAAATTCAATGTTACCAATATCCCTTACTACTTTTTAAACATCCATCAACAAAATCAAGTCTTTTAGGAAGTATCGTTTTGTTTTCTAACTGGTGGCTCAATGGCTCTTCTCCGCGGCTAGCGACCGCCGTTACATGTTGATCTTTGAAGTAAATATGGGCCTGGCAATGTGCAGATGTCCAAAAAATCTGAGTCAGAATATTTTTCTATCAGTTGCGATGGTATTGCCCGGACTATACCCTAAATGCCACTGCTATTAAAAAAATTAACGTACTTTTCACCACTATATTACTTATAACGATCCCTGATCAAATTGAGCTATAACAGACGTTCTTTCTAAAGAAACTGCTACCCTTGCAGCTATTTTTTCTAAAAGAAAATTTAAAGTCTTTGATGAGTATGTGTATAGAATGTATGTGTGTACAGGAAGCGGCAATGAAAACTACTTTGTGACCAGATTTAAATGTGAAATATGAATATGGCTTGTTATTTTCCTGCTGGGTGATATAAAGAGAACTTGTTTTAATTGTATTAGCACAACTGACCATTTGGGCTTCCAATGGTCAAGGGATAAATTGTTTAGGGGCAGCGTCAGCAGAGCTCATGGGCGCAGCAGCATTTATTTTATAAATGAATTAACAAAACTGTTGTGGGAACAGTATATCAGCAAAACAAGGTAAACAAGTAGAGAGATCAATGTCCCAAACAGAAAAAAGTCCGTGGGGTCAATTCAGCTCATTTTTGGAAATACAAGGTTTGCAACGAACAGCATTACCGGTGATGGATATCGACAAATAGATAGTTGCAGTTATTTTATGTCCTTTCCTAATTGGTAAACTTCGTGGGATCACTATGGACCAAATTGAGAGCTCTTTCCACAAAGGTTGAGGTCTCGAGATAACCAAAGAATAAACAGATTCCATAAGTGTGTGCAACAAACTTGAAGAGCTCGGGATGACGGATACTGTTTTAATAAAGGATTCTGCATTTCTGATCCTTTTCAATATTTCAATTTCTAATCGCATTTCCCAAAATCGGTGGCAAACTCCTTACTTTTACTTTAGTTAGAAATCTTATGTCTTTCTGGGAACGCAATATCATTTAGTAATACCTCTTTTATTTTGGTCGCCTTCTAATGCAGCCAGTTCCAGATTTGCAACTTCTCATGTACATACCAGTAAAGGACTGGAAAGAAATTTCCAGAGGAACGCCCATGGTGTCTTCAAATATGAACGTTGAAATTAAAATAGCTGAAAGGTATACAGCCATTCACCATTCTCATGATGATACTAAAAAGATTTGATTGTGTTGTACTGAGGACCAACGCCTAACGTTCCAAGCAATATACAGCTAAATAATAACGAAGGCCTGCTCTTGTACACAAGGGGGCTGTACTGATTTCTCGATAAAGAACTGAAAATCGCAGAGTGAATGGGAGGATATGTCTGTTGAGATCTTCCTTTTGAAAGTTCTATAGGAGGACAAGCAGATTAAGCAGTTCTTTTCATGAGTTGCTTCCTGTCGCTGTTATACGGCTAAGGAGTATCTCTTGTAGGACGGGTAGCAGATGGATTAGAAGGTACCCATCCTACTACTGTTTGTCTTGGCACGCGTATGGGTCAAAGTCAGAGAGGTGAGCATTATGCTTCTGACAAAGTTTTTCCCAATAAAATAACATGATATTACTACAATATTTATTTCAAAATGTAGGTACTGTGCACAATTACCAGGCACTTAGCTCATTTATTTTTTATAATAATGTTTTACTTGATTTTAAACAAAAACAGGCCTGTGTAGTCATTTCGGGAACGCGTCCTTATACCATGTTTCATAGTTCAGACAAGTAAAAAATGTTTGCAATTTTTTTCTTGATACTTTAACTACCACGAAGGCCTAAGGCCTAAGCACCCATTGGGTACCGTGGGGCTATAATTACGAACTAAAAATGTCATATTTTTATATTAGCTTTGAAAATCATTAAATTAAGAATATATCTACAAATTAAATTCATATGATTTTAATTTCTTCATATTTTGGCTATTTAAATGCTGTCTGACATTTATCAAATCATTCCGTGAACGCAGTTGCGGTTGCTCGATGTAATTAAAACAACAAACAATAGGTGGCGTTAGGGAGCAGCAATGCGAAGTTCACTATACGAAGAAAACGGAGTGTGTCGTGTTGACGGAAAAAAACTATTCATTTTCTTGCTAAATACTGTTTAATTTTGCTATGTACTTTAATTCCTTGTCACTACGGGAACGCTGTTTGATGGTTAGCTTTTCGCAAATTTGCACACTTTTTTCATAATAATGATAAATATTACAGCTCACTTGTTCTCAACTTCCAAAACCAATATCTAAAACGGCGGCGTCAAGCGTGACATGTAATTATTTATCGAATAGTCATTTTGGGAACGGTCATTTCGGGAATGTTCTCGTCTATGACGGGCGTTCCCGAAATGACAGGATGTGAACAAAATGATACTCTGATTTCTTTAAAAAGCATTCCTATTTTAAATTTTGGTTTTAGGTATCTGTTTAGTACAAGTAACATTGAAAACAATATCTAAAAATGAATATAATAAGAATTCAAAATTCGTGAATAAACAAGTTAAAAAAGATAAAGCAGAGGTTTACAGAGCCGTTAAAAAAACAGAAACAAATAATACAAAACATGCAAAAAACTATAGATAAGTTGCGAAAAAAAAGTAGAGAGAAGTAGAAGACGTGAGAAAGAGTATCTCAAAAGGGTACAGATACACCTGCTCGCAAAGTTAATGAATGGACAAGAGGATGTTATATTACTCCGAAAGTTCATAAACATCCATTATTTAGGGAGGTTTTGACAAGCCAAGTGAAAGACACCGCTTACAAATTAGCAAAAAATTTAAAAATGCCGTTTAAAAAAAAATAGTGACAACATTTTAAAATCTATTCGGAGGCGTCCAATGTATTTAATTACAAATCAGATTCGTGATGAAATTCATAAGTTTCTTGACAGTGACGATGTCAGCAGAATGTGTCCTGGTTAGAAAGATTGCCTCATTGGAAACAAACAAAAGCGATTGCTTCTAGAAACTGTTAAAATTTTGCATTCTCAATTTTGTGCTGAGACTGGAAAGTATCTTATACGACACTCTTTAGAGAGAAGCCTTATTGGGTGATACCACCTACAAAAAGGAATCAATATGTAGGGGAGAGTCCGGGAGAGTCTAGCAGGTGGGAGACAATAGCCGCTGCTCATAGAATATTTGTGGCACGAGATGTTACGACATTGCCACACTTCTCAGACGTCATAGGCACCTCCCACCCCGCTCACGTAGCGCCGTTACAATCGGCAGTTTGGTTTGGAAGTAAGAAGTGGCAACACGTTTTCGTACCTGGAAAGTGAGTTTATTCAGTTTTCGACATTTGATCTCTGTTCTTTACTGTGGATAGATTCCAGCACGCCACTTATATACACCGTAAGTGTAATTATTCTAGTCATATTTACGACAGCCAGCTTTTATTCAAGTGTCATAGCTTTTTTTAAATTTAATAACTGGTAGTATGGCGTGGAGTGGGAGACATTACCCTGGCGTTGGGAGGAGACTTTACCCAGGGTAATCTCTCCCTCTCTGTCAGGGTCGTTTCTCCCGCAATAAATTTTATTCATTTTATTTCAGAGAATGCCCTTCAACTATAGAAAAAAACAAACAACTAGAAAGAGAAGCAATTTAGATCTGTCAGTAATAAAAAATGCTTTAGGTGACATTGATCAAGGAAAGTCTATCCGAGGTGTTGCTTTGGAATATGGAATTGACAGAAATACCTTAAGAAATTATTTAAGAGACAGGTCTAAATTGACTAAAATAAGTGAACAAGGAAGCCAGTTTAAAACATCTATGATATTTACAATCGAAGAAGAGAAGGCGCTTGTTGAATATCTTATAGCTTGCAGCAAAATGAATTATGGATTAACCAGACAGGCGACTATGCAGCTAGCATATGAATATGCAAAAATGAATTCCAAAAAGGTTCCAGATTGTTGGACTTCCAACAACTGCGCAGGAAAAGATTGGTTCCGGGGATTTATGACAAGAAACCCTGAACTAAGTTTGAGAACCCCAGAAGCCACCAGTTTATCCAGATCAACCAGCTTCAATAGAAAAAACGTTACTGATTTCTTCGAGAACCTCAAAGAAGTTAGAGAAAAATACCAATTTGAAGCACATAACATCTATAACTGTGATGAAACAGGGTGTACGACTGTACAAGAGTGTCCCAAAGTAATAGCGAGCAAGCATATGCGTCAAGTAGGACAAGTTACTTCAGCTGAACCGTTTGCTTCGCTGTGAACGCTCTGGGAAATGTTCTTCCTCCATTTTTCATTTTCCCTAGGGTTAGATACAACGAATGCTTTGTAGCTGGTGGGCCTCCAGGCTCACATGGTGACTCCTATCCTAGTGGATGGATGACAACCAAGAGTTTCGTAAAATTCATGGAGCATTTTGTGAAATATTCGAACGCATCTCTTAATAACCGAGTGCTGCTTATCCTCGACAACCACGAAAGTCATATCAGTGTTGAAGTCGTTAAATATGCAAAATCAAATGGAGTCACTTTGCTGACTATACCCCCCCACTGCAGCAGAAAGCTACAGCCATTAGATGTTTCCGTCTATTCATCTTTCAAGACTAGATATAATTCAGCCATGAATAACTGGATGATCAGTAACCCAGGACGAACTGTTACGATCTACAATATACCTGGATTTGTAAACACAATCATGTCGCAGGCTTTTAGTCTATCCAATATTTTGAGTGGATTTCGATCAACTGGGATACACCCCTATAACCCGGACATCTTTACAGATGACGACTTTTTATGCTCTGCGGTAACAGATAGAGAAATGACTAGTGAACTCCAAAAGCAAGATGTTTCTTCGATTACTTCACCCTCGGTCGCTGCAAAAGTACCATCAGATTCAACCACGGTCGCATTACCTTCAACATCTACTGTACGTCAGTCAGAGCCTTCAACATCAGCATCAGTATTCACGAATGAAAGTGCAGCTCCTAGAATCAATTCACCATCAATTTTGACTGCGGAAGAATCCGAGCAAGCAAATACAATACCAAGACGATCAGCAGAGATAGCTTCTACATCTAATGTTCTGGATATGACAACGGTAGATTCTGATTCCGGACACACACCAAAAATAGTTTTACCACAAACATTTCGACCATTTCCAAAAGCTACTACTAGAAAAAGTCTTCGCCGTGGTAGACAGCCCGGAAAAACTAAAATTTTAACAAAAACGCCAGAAAAACTAGACCAAGATGATAAGTATGCACCGAAAAATAAGAAAATTAAAATAACTACGAAAAGGCAAACAGGCAAAGCAAAGAAAAAGACAGTAAAAAGACAAGTTTTACAGTCAAGTGACAGTGAGACAGACCTTGACGAAGAACCCAAGTATGATGATAGTTCTGATAGTCCCTGGGATGAAGTACCAGATGTTACTGATAATTGGTTTTGTTTCATCTATGGGGAAGACAAAGTTATGGACATGAGATTTTGTGCTGTTTGTGGCAAATATGTCCATGAAATGTGTGTTGGACTATCCAAAGACGATAAGGAGCAGTTTATTTGTCCCAATTGCTCCAATTAAAAAAAGTAAGACTGATGAAGGTTGTTATTATCTTTGCTCTTAATTTTGAGAGTTATTTTAATTTTTGTTTTACTGACAACATACAAGGTTTTTAAGTTTAAACTACTTATAAGGTTGACTTCCTGTTTCTGATGGAGAGTATGACTATTTTATAAGTAGATTTTGTTATCTTGTTATGTATTATTTTATTTTTGTTCTTAATTTTGAGAATAACTCTAATTTTTATTTTGCCGACAACGTACAAGATTCCATACCAAAAAATAATTTGTATTACCTACTTTTAAGCTTTAACTACTTATAAGGTTTGTTACCTAGTTATGTGAAAGATGGAGTAGGTTCAGGTAATACTATGTGCCATATTTTTTTAATTAAATTTATAGATTTACAATGTGTAATGATTATTTTGCCTAATCCTAAAGTGGAGGGTAAAGGCTCCCTACTCGAGGGGTCAAGTCTCCCACCCATGCGGCAGATATTAGCCGAATGTTACCTTGGCAGAATTCGTTGATAACTCGTAAACTCGTAATGCTACATTAAGCTTTCTTGAGAAAAAATGTAGCTAAATAATGCGTTCTAAGATATAATTTATCGGAAATGAAGGTTTGTAAGCGTGTAAAGACTTAAAAGCATTTTAGTGGAAGGTGGGTATACTCTCCCGGACTCCCCCTATACTTGTCTGTGTGTAAAGTACGAAAATTTTAAATACAAATTCAATATAACGAACCGACTGGGACACAGCTGCAGCGCAATTCTACATCTCAATTGATAAAAGCGTAGGTACAGCTGTGACAGTTGAAACTTTGATACTTAAGTTACTTTGTGACATTATGCAATTATGCATTTAGTAATAATGTTTCTAGTGCCTAATGTCTATTTATTTAAAAATACAAAGTTTATTATTATTATATTTTAAGTTTGAATTTTGATACACAAGTTGCTCATCCCTTACAAATAAAGGTATAATACTAAAACGTTTATATTATTTTCATGCATAAAATATGTCAAAAACCAGGTGTTCATTCAAAGAACGACAACGTCATATGTAGAGAACTTCATTATCATTTCGCTTACACCCCCATCATTTTCGGGAACGTCACAAAAATGGCAAATAAATCACTAATACTGAACATTATAGTTAATTTTACATATACCATGTGAAATGACTGTTAGGCATTTGTATTTATATTATTACTATACCACGTAGTGTACAAATGTATAAAATAAACTGAAGTTTTGGAGCAGAATTTACACCAATTGAAGATTTATGGACAGTAATTTGAAAAATAAGTGTTTTGATTATGAAAAAATACAAAATAACAACATTTTCCGATTTAGAGACAGGTTTGTTACAATTTATTGAAGGTCGCTCTTAAATACGTTAGTTACATTATTATTTAGACTTCGTTTAAAGCTGTTCCCGAAGTGACTCACGACTCAGCCATAATTCTTATTAACGGGTAGTATTTCGAAAATATATATCTTTGTGCGTGCCTCTTCACAGAAAAGATTCCTGATGAATAATGACAACCGACTTCTGTTGTTAGTTCTCTTCAAAAGGAAACTTAATTTTTCAGATATTTGAAAACCTAAAATGCTCACCTCCATGATTTTGACCCGTATAGGTGCAAGTTTAACTTGATTGGAACACATAATCACATTTGCAAAAAAAACAATTCGTCATATTCTGCGATATTGAAACTGAAACATAATCTCACAACATCCACCCTTTTAAGCTTGACCTCTAGCATATCCACATATTAGAAGCAACATAATGTTATGGGGACAAGCAAGTACGACAAACAGAGTTTTCGTGCAGAAAAGGGTTGATCTTCAATAATAACCGAAGAGACTCGTGTCAAGAAACTTTTAAAAATTGCAATCTGCTTATAGTAACAACTATATACATATTTTGAATGTGCTCTTTTTGCCTTCACGCATGTTGTCAAATTTACCCAAAATGATACATCCATTACCTCACAGGGAACGCACTTTATGTTCTAGGCAATAGCACTACTCTATTTGAAAACTCACTTGTCACTCTTCATGTGTACCAATATATATAATGATCTACCAGCTAAAGCTCAACCAAAGAATAACTGAGAAAATATCTTGTTGATAAGTGCCCATATTCCCTAAACGAATATATCACTATGTAACGTCACCATAGCGTAATTCCGGTACCTTTACTTAATTTCAACGTCTATGTAAGTGCTGTCTTAATCGGCTATGTCCGTTAGCTATCTTGTTGTTATGTGGATGTAGCTTCCATTTGTTGAATTTCTTCAGATTGTTTTAAATTTCTTTGTTTTTATTTACGTTTTATACATGCTTGTACAGGGAATGTGTGCTGAGTTAATTACTATATATACTAAGTGACATATAAATCCGAACACCCAGTTTAAATGGTTTTATTTCAATAAAATTTTGTATAAGTACTTAATGAAGCATAATAAGTAAATGATAAAAATTTCAAAATGATTGCACTGCTTTAAAGCCCTTTGACCTTTAATAATGTGTGGATGCACCCTGATGTGCTACGCATCCTCCAACGCGCCTAGGCATGCTTCTGATCAGGTGGTCAATGTCCTCCTGTGGTATCTCATTCCAGGCAACCACCAACTCCTCTCGAAGTGCTTCTAGAGTTTGAGGAGGACGCTGCAAATTGAGCAATCTCCTACCCATCATATCCCACACGTGCGCAATTGGGGATAAGTCGGGAGATCTTGGTGGCCATGGTAACAATGTGACATCATTATGTTGAAAGAAGTCTATTGTGACTCTTGCGACATGTGGCCGGGCATTATCTTGTTGGAAAGTTGGATCTGCAAGGTTGTCAAGATAGGGTAAAAGATGGGGTTCTAGAACTTCGTGGATATAGCGCTGAGCGTTCATGTTACCTCTGATGAAGATTAAAGGTGACCTGAAACCATAAGCTATAGCACCCCAAAGCGTAACTCCAACAGTGTGATGAACATGTCTTTCAACAAAAAACTGTGGATTCCTCCTTTCACCACGTCGCCTTCTAACCCTGGCACGATCATCGTGCATGCCTAAACAAAATCGAGACTCGTCACTAAAGACAATACTGTTCCATTCCTGATCCCAGAGTGACCGTTGTCTGCACCACTCAAGGCGATTACGTCGGTGTTCTCGAGTTAAAGGGAGGACCCAGTGTGGCCGGTATGAAAACAAGCCAAAACTTCTCATTTGTCGGTAAACACTTCGCATGCCAATAGGTCTTCCGTGTTCTGCAAACCATTCATTTGCAATGGACCTGGTAGTGGAGAAACGGTACCTTAAGGCCAATAATCTTCACGGCGATCTTCACGGTCTGTTGTTCTACGGCGGCGTCCAGTGCCCCTTGCTCTTTGCGTACGGCCTTCTCGAAGCCATGCCTGACAACACGTAACCACAGTGTCTACACTTCTTTGCACTCTAACTGCAATTGCCCGAAAAGAAAGTCCAGCTTCCCGAAGTCCCACTATACGGCCCCCTTCAAACTCACTAAGTTGACGAAATCGTACAGGTCTCCGTACTCTAGGCATCGTAACCGATCGTAAAGGATGTCAAGAACCAAAATCCGTCAACGTTGATTCTTTACTGCGGCTGAAATATTCATTTTTAGAGCGTTAGTGAATTAAAAAGAAGCACTATAAAAACCGGAATGTCCAACTGATAAGGCTGAAAATTTTTTCACTTGTTATTTACAGTAAGATAAGTACATTCACCAACTTTTATTA